ATATATATATATATATATATATATCCTCTTTGTCCAGCAAAGAAATGTTATTATGAACAATTATTCATTATAATGTTACTGTCTTTTGTACGTTAAATCACCAAGACTGCAAGGGAAGACGAAATGTAAATTGGTTGGACAACATGCACTGGGAGGGTATAGCAAAATGTGAAACGGCAAGTCGCGACCATGGATTATGGAGAGTCATTGTAAGTCAACCTCTGAGCCAGAGATGACACATCCAGGTATACCAGGTAAACCTTGCACAAAATTGGAAATTATGGTTTTGCATTCAAACTTGAGAAACTTAGGAAGACATCTGCATGCGTTCTGTAGGAAGAGTTTGCATCAAGGTGGGTTGTCATTTCTTTCTTACTCGGGACTCTCCTTGAAATGTGAAGGCGAAGTTCTGTTTTATTTTAATTTGTGGCTATTGTGAAGACTGAAATGATTGTTTTGGTGCTGAGCTGAGCTGGAGATGTCATCTCTGACTCAGAGGTTGACGTGTAATGTCCCTCCATCTTTCACTGTCGCGAGCTGCAGTTGTATATTCTGCCTTATCCAGGCCAGTCCATGTTCTTATGTTGTCCATCCATGTTATTCTTTGCTTTCGTTTGGCTCTCCTATCCTACATCTTTCCTTCAAGCACCTCTTTCATAATGGTTTCGTGTCGTTTTAAGTGGCCATAGTATTGGATGTGTATACATTTTATTTCGTTCAGCAGGGTTTGTCTGTTTTGTAGAATGTGACACATCTCTTTGCCTGTCTTTTTTGTTTTGGTGTTGAAAACTCTTAATTTCCACTCGTCACCGTTAGCTCCCTCGGTTGTTCATGTCTTTACAGGGTCTCCTAACTCTGATTTGGGCGTGCTCGCTGATGTACCAGAGGGCGAGGCCTGGATGCCCAAAGAAGCTGCGCAGGAGGCAACCACATAGTTTGCAACACATTGGTAAAAAGACACACCCAGCACACAATACAATAAACAGCAGTACACCCCATCTCCCCCGAAAAAGGAAACGATTAAAAGTAGACATGGTTATGGGAAGATGAAGGAGGTATTGGAGGAAACACCAACTATGGGCGAATGATACAAATGTATAACAGATTTATAACAAGAAGGAGAGCATACATGTATAAGGAAGTTATTTTCAGGAGAACTAGAAAACTAAAAAGGGACAAATTAGATCACTGAACTGTCACAGTATGACATACGATCAGCTTTGACCCTTTTTACACTATTCTGTATTCTCTTTTATTAATCAATGTCACCAGCTGTGGCCGTAGGCTAGCCGAGCACATCATAATGTACTTTTGCGAGCGACTGTTGAGCTAAATGAAACGTATAGCTAGGGGTTGGTTCTGCATGGTGGCACTCCTGAACCAAAACTATTGA